AAATTTTAGTCTCCTAAACCGTTGTGATGTGACTCATTCCCATATCTTTCCCACTGGAAATAAGCCACTAATAACAGCTACGAGAGGAGACTAGACAAGACTAAACTTACTTTCTTTTTATCAAAGCTCTTAACTTTAAGGAAATGCCATAGTTCACTCTGAACCTTCCATGTTGACTGAAGTAAAAACTGGTTTTACCTTTTTTTTCCCTCTTAGCTCCAGATGAAAAGACAATAACTAAAGCTGTATCAACTGCTTTTTCCGCAATGGCCGACCTCATGAAGACAGGAAGAAAGACGTTTCTTGGGCTTGGAGARTCTATGGATTCTGTYGAGTCAATGACCAGTGACATGAGCGAAGATCTKATYGTYTTYGAGTATATTAACATGAGCGAAGAACGACCATCTGCCGAGAAAGCGATGAGACTGGCRACATTGCAATTTAACACACTTAACTGTATTGGTATGGTATAATTTGCCACCTAGCATATTGACTATTAACTCSTCAAAGGGCCATARTCAACCGGCATGYAGTGCGGTCATATTTTAGACTTTTTAATGGGATTGACTGTATTGTGAGAAATAAACAAAAGGTCGTAAGAGATGCTGGCTATCTATGGTCCATGCATGCTTGGCATATCTACTATTGAGGTAAAAAAACATAAACTTTCTGGCAATTTTATTTCAGCCAATCAGGACACACTGGCCATTTTAATGCAGTTCTTCAGTACAGCGTTCACTTCAAACAAAGACTAYAAYCAAMCTTCACAAACTACTGTACAGAAAGAAACGCCTCAGCTCAAAAGTGCACTTGATCAGGTCAGTATACCTTTATGCCGTTCAGTGAAAGACATACATGCATCGGGAGTTTYRGMGARCARTGYGTCCGCCATCTTGAAAAGTGAGACCGGAATCACTATGTTGTGCCTTAGAGCACATTTCGTAGTTGCTAAGTCAAATAATCTATCATTATATCGTAGTATGTTAATTTGACATTAGCTGAGAACTTTTTAAATCCTTTAGGACTTACAATTTAGTGATTCGAGTCCAATTTTTCAAGATGGCGGACGCCTTGTTCTCCAAAACTCTTGATGCATGTATGACAGTTGTTGAGGCAGCTGTTGGTTGCAATTGGTGCACATCCACTAAGATATAGCCTTTTTTGTACTCTGCTATCCCTTGTCATGAAAACTGCAATTGAAAAGCCTGGATCTACGCATGTATGAAGTGCACTTCMAAAACGTTTTTGTGTTGGCTCGGCTTAAACCGTCACAAACAAGATCAACAATTGTTCAGGCTATTATTAATGTTATTATATTCACAATTTRTCCAGCAGGAAAATGCCCAGGAGAAAACATCACAAGCTCCTCTTGAAGTCAATGCTTCATTTCGCGCGATGAAAATCCTTCTAGTCAGAAGYGTCAAAGTGAATAGCCTCAAAGCTGTAAGAAAAGTGGCCGAAGTCACCGTCAACGAATTTCAGATAAATGCCTCATTCGTTGAGGGACAGTCCATCTCAGGGTCTCTGGGAGGTCTAAGAATAATGGACCTGACACCAGAAGGGTCCTTACATCCATGCGTCCTCACTTGTGGGACGATTTTAGATGAGGTCATAACATCTGACGACCCATATCGATTGAGGACCCTTCCAGCTGAYGACGACGACGGCCCTGCTGATTTACGTGCCTTTAGGTTTCATCTTGTCCGTCCGACAGCAGGTCAGCGGTATCCCAAGGTAATTTTTCCTCCACTGAAAAACTCCGAAAGTGAAYAYATGGAGATTTCCAGGAATGTCCARGTTCGTATTACCATGGCAACAGTACAGTACACCCACACTCAAAGGTTTATGACCGAGCTGATGCTCTGTGGAGGTGACTTTGCTGATTCTGCACGACAAGTAGGCGAAAGCCTGCGACAAGCAGCTAGCAGTGTAGCAATGGGACTTGTAAGCAAAAAGAAAGCACTTGTAGACGAGATCGACTACTTATCCTCGTCCTTCATTGCACCAAGTCAAGCAATCGAAAC